AGACATGAAAAGGAATCACCTCATTAATAAAGAGGTAGTCATCTTATAAATATTAGGTCATCCCATTCAAAAGTGCCAAGACATATAGAGAAATGGCAGGAAAGCAAAGGGGATAGGGCAGCGGGTTAGTAGACCGTAGAAGCCGTGGAAGTGGACTGAAATTGCACTTTTGACTGAGCATCAACCATGATCAACTTTGAACTTTGGCATCGTATGAGGTCCGAAATGGCTTAAACCACAGCCAAAGTATTAACATAGCTCCACTTGACTCAGGTATCACTTAGTTGCCTTCCGCCTGACCTCAGTCGACTGCCATTTCAGCTCTAAAGGCACACTCCGCAATAAACCAAGGCCATTACCTGTCAAATGTGTAGATGATCCGGTAGGCAATAGCAGAGGCAGAACTGCATTCAAAAAGTGGAAATTTGCAGGAATTCCGGCGAAAGCTGAACACGTGGGCCTATGAGCACACTTTACGCCCATGCCAACTCCCTGTGGCAAACTAGCCTGTCTAGTAACCCCTCTATTAGCTCTCTCCCTTCCAAATGGTGAGAGCGAGGTGATAGTGGAAAAGAGCTGATATTCATACCGAGAACACAGTGAGTGAACAACATGTGAGAATTCGTATAAGGGCGCCTTCTCTCCAATGTGTCCACCTACAAGGTGGCAGGGGCAGGTGTCCTGTATAGGGCGATTTGGAGGGCTCTATAGAGGGTTTTCTGTCTCCAGCTGATCTATCATTGCGACACGAAGCCGGCGGCGATTGAAGCCCACACAGGTCAGCGAAGGGGGCGAGCTCACTTGTTATGGCTAGGCATTCATCTTTCCTTGTTCAACTTGGGTATTTTTGGCGCGTATCCAGAAGGTCTCCAAAATTTTGCGTGCTAAAGTGGACTCTTGCTTCAGAAGCAGTGACTCCAAACTCCTCTTCTTCATGGTCATACATTATGTGATCACTGAAGGGGGTAGCAGGCCTCGTTTTTCTTGGACCGTCCAGATGTTCTTTTTCCCTTGAGTAAGAAGGTCGCTTAGTTTCGTCGGCGAACTCATCCCCACAGGGTGTGCATGCGGTCAGGTAGACCACATCTGGTGCCATTCAGTCATCCTCCTTGGAAAAGAGAGTGGGAAAGCAACGCCAATCGTGCCAGCGCTTTCGAAAAAACTGCTGCTTGATGTTCGTGGGAAGGATCTCGACCACCACCTTGACTGAATTTCTGAATGTGGAGCGTTCAATTTTTTTTGTCGCGCAGAGCATAAAAATTTCCTTGAAGACCACACTCGGTCGAGGCTAATCCAAAGCTTACGTTTCGCAGTAATTAAATGGGCAGGGACTTACGATCATCGTGACTTCCTCATTGGTTGTTTCTTTTTTTCTCGTACGGTGCAGCTCATTTGATTATCGTGGTATGGGCTTACGGAGATTCACTATGCCTTTTCCCCTACTATTTTGCGAAATTTTTTGTATTCAGGTTACGAAACGATGGCACCATCCTCTACAGTCGACGCCTATCTTTAGTAGTAACTTGTGGTAATTAATTCATTATTTTTATTTTAATTAGTTTATTGAAATATTCTCTAGAGCGGTTCGACCTAGGGTATAACATAAGACTGCTAATGCGCTTGTAGAAGCTCTACCATGACCGCTATTGGAGCCGGTCCTTCCCGCGAGTATGCGATCGCTACTCCCGCCGGAAAAAGGTCCCGGCCAGGCATCCACTGACTTCTTAACGAAAGGCAATAGTTGGTTTAACGGCAAAGCATAGGGGCCATGGGTCGCAAGCCCTTGGCCGACTTGGAAAGCTATTAGATATTCGATTCTTGCGGTCTGGGCGCAGCGCAGCTACGAGTCGCAACCTGCCCCCCTCGAAGCCCTGGTCTCCCACAGTGGCGCGCACCACGCTCGCGCCCCGCGACGCACCGTTCTGCTACCGCTTCCTTATCCGTTGCCATACTCTGCTCACCTCCTCTCCTCACTTGTGCGCCTATGCCCTCGTCCTCCACCGGACGCTGGTAGACGCTGGGTGCACAACTGGCCCACACGCTAGGATTAGCGGTAGATCGGGACCCAGGGTCTTCGGAGACGTTTTAGGTGACGCTGGCGAGACGCTAGCCAGACGGCCACTAGATCGAGATGGTGTGTCTGTACTTTCCCACGCTGTCAGACGCCCGAAACGCTAGTGGACGCTGCCGCGTAGTATGAACGCAGCCTTAGGAACTCGGTGCATTTGAAAAAAGCATACAAATTGGAAAAGTCGTTTCCTTTCTCCTATCGGTCTTTCCTGGCATCCTAATAATTCGGGGATTAAAAGGCCTCGCGTTAAGAGCCGCCGGGATTTAACTCCCTCCTCGACCCGAGTGTGCGCTAGGTGGAATGGCTCCTCTTGCCACTAAACCACATAAACCCAAGCTGACTTTGTGGGCAAATCTCGGTCTGCTCTACGGTAATGGACACAAGGAATCTGTTGCATAAAAGGGATCTACGGGATCTGCATGGGAATCACATTTGTTGAGGGTTTTTCTTTTTGTTTTTCTCTTAGCCGGAGATCAACCCATCAAAAGCTGCCAGTTTTGGAGTTGTTGTGGTCGTGACCAATCTCGGTAAAAGCTGTCAGTTATTATTGAGTAGGAGCTTGGAGCTAAAAACTTCTTGCGAGAGGCTGTTCCAAAAAGCGGGCTGAAGGGGCTGAGGTGCTCGTGCAAGGCGCAACACCTTGTGTGAAGGGTGGAGCACTTGGCCATCCTTTCTACGTACGGCTCACATCGGTAGGATTACCAGTGCGATCCACAGAAGTCAAAGGCACTCCATCAGTCCAAAATGGTAGTTATGCGCATCAGTACTGGTGACAAGGTGGCTAGTGACACAAAAAAATAAGAAAAAGCTGAAAAAATAGCCTAGAATGTCTTAATTCTGAAGCTTCTTTCCTTGAACTCTCGAAATTTACTCCCATGGGAAAATTGAAGCTTGGTTTAATTGTTTTCAAATTCAGGGATGGATCTCACTTTGTTCCCATTCGATTCGCAATTGTGTAAACTCGGAATTGAAAGTTGTACGTTCTTCTTCATATTACTTGATTTAATTTGAAGTTTCAAAATTCTAAACCCTTTGGTTAATATTTTGTTCATTCTTTCATTTGTCATTTTAAATCTTTAACTTATGTGTCGTATCATTTTATTAATATTTTTAATTTTTGAAAACTCTGTGATGCTTATTTGCCGACC